TCATGGCCGAGCAACTAAGACTTTTTGTCCCACACAACAAACATAAAGGTACGATTTCCGCAAGAAACTATTTTTCCACACACCAGGAACACTCTGAAAAAAAAACTGGCACAAAGAACCTTACAATTTTGGACAATTGGAAAATTCTTAGGATTCGCCCTTTTGCCTAGTGGACAGTTTATGCGCCCAACACTTTTTAGATCCCGAGTAGAATCCGAATCATGACGGTTTTAGTTTTCTCAGAAAAGTCGGAGAAAAAAATACATAAAACGGAGCTATCGAATATATATCCTCGAGCTGTAGTTCAGAAGTGTAATTTAAATTGCAGACAACATAACGTTCTCGGCAAACTGAGAAAATACTCGGAGCATTTTATTTTTAATTTTAACAACAAGATACTATTTCAGCAATAGCTGTTAAGATTCAGAGTGAGAGCAACTACGATTGAGAACTGGGTTTATAGATTGAGGTAAATTCTGAAATTTAAATTTAGGGTTGAGAAGAGCCAGTTATTATTGAAGAATGAGTTGAGAGAGTGATTGACATCACAAACGAAGCATCACAAAAGTACCAGTTAATTATTGACTTATTAATTAGTTTGTGATCATAAGTCAACTTTGCCTGCGTTGAATCGGTTTTGAGCTCGAAACTGATTCGCTTCAATTAATCTGACTGACATTGAAATGGTCTGACCTCAATACCCCCACTCAGGCTAAATTGTTTTTTTTCCCAATGTCAGACTGCAACCCATCAAGGTTGGAAGATGTTGTTCCACCTTAGCCTTGCTCAGGGTTTTTGTCAACGAGTCAGTAAGTATCCTTGATCTCATTAAGGCAATATTTGAGTTCAATTGTCTCACTTTTCACTCGTCCTCGAGTAAGGTGGTATTTCACATCGATGTGATATGTTCGCTTCCGCGTCACAGGTTTTTTGCACATCTTGATTCACCTCTGATTGTCCTTCTTGATGACAGTTGGTCCGTCATTAACCACGCCCATCTCATTGAGAAGTGATCACAGATGTAGAGCCACTTGAACCGCTGCTGCCATTGCTTGTTACTCAGCATCACTGGTAGATTTGGCTGCAATTGGTTGCTTATTGGTGCACCAACTAATTTTTAACCCTGGCTTCTGCAAATGAAAACTGTAGCCAGTAGTTGACCTTCGATCATCCAAACTTCCAGCCCAGTCAGCATCTGAGGATCCATAGAGTTTAAGATCACCAGCGTTCTTAGACAGCACAGGTCCAGATCTTTGCTCCCCTTCAAATAACGAAAAACCCTCTTTGCAGCTACCCAGTGCACCCTTCCTGGATTCTCCGGGAAACGAGAGAGTTCCTTCACAGAAGCTAGGATATCAGGCCTTGTTTGTCTAGCCATGTACAATAATAAGCCCACGATGTCACTGTAGTCCTCAGCCTTCATGGATATCGCCTCTGCTGACCTAGCTTCAGGTTAGTCTTTCTTCGACAGTTGTGCGCTGATATCTGCTGGTGTGGCCACTGGTTTGCAATCAGCTAGGCCGAAACGCGCTCCAAGCATTCATTGATATAACTTGATTGATTCAGGGCAAAAACCCGTCGTCCAGGAATAATTTTTATTACCTCTAAAGCCATAGCTGCCAGCCACTGCTGTTTTCAGGTCCAAACACTGCTTTTGAATCGCCCATCGGCTTTTGAATTCCAGTCACCGAAGCATGTGTATAGGCGATTCCTTATCGAATGGGTGGGTTTCTTGTCCTTACGGACCTCTGGGTTGGATGATCAGTAGCATGCGAAACTACTGCTTCCTAGCACACCTGATCCTTCTCAGTAGCCCCCACTGAATCTGCAGTATCACCCTCAGTTGGCGCGCTTGGTGCTTCACTGATTCTCGTCGTGCTTGGTTGCTCAATATGAATGCATCTCTCGATTGATAGCTCCACGGTTTTTAATGGCTCGCTGTCAATCATGAAGTCACGCGCCTTGTCTCTAAATCCATTAGCAAGTAAGCTTTGCTCTCGTCGTCGTAACCGATGAACTTGCTTTTCTTGCCCTTTGGATCCTTTTTCCTTAGTACGACAGGCTAGCAAACACATACAAATTGCTCATTTTTGATAGTCTCCCGTAGCGCATCTCCGTCGGTGAAAGGCGCTTCCCGTTTCTGGTTGTGAGACAAAAGTTGCGAATCATCACATCGGTCGTTTTTGCTCGCACCCAGAACAACTTCGGTAGCTTCGCTTCGGCCAGCAGACATCGAGTCATCTCAGTGATCACTCTATTGTAGCGCTCTGCTACACCATTCTGTTGGAGAGTTTGGGCATACTGAACTCTTGCTTCACCTGGGATTCTCTACGAAGTCACTTAGTTGCTTTTGACCAATACCAACTTTCGTTGTCAGTTCGCAGAAGTTTCGGTGCTCCATGCTCAGCCACAAACTCCTGGAACTTCATTATAGCATCTTTTGACCACAGCCAGCCAACTGAAGTCGTCGATGAAGCTCAAACAGTCCCTGAATGTCATTGAACACCAATTGCCCCACTGCTGATGCTCTGCTCTCAGTCTTTTTAGGCACTGCAATTTCATGCATCTTGGAAGCTGTATACTTTTTGCAGAACTCTAGCTTGCCAACACTGATAAGCGAAGAGAAATCATATTGGTTGAGGTGCCTCATTCATCGGTGCCACATGATTGCCGTTGGGCTTCTCCACAGTTGCTTCAGCTCTCAAAGTTAGAAAAGACAGCCCTGTCGCTAACCACATGATCAGTGCGCCTCGTATTCACAATGAAGCCGTCTCCCTTCATTGAAACTAAAGCTAGCAACTGAAGAACCCTGTCCTCCCCTGCTTGCACTCCCTTGCATAATTTCGCGGTTGCCCCACACTTGAAGCACTCTAACTTCTTTGCTCCTGGATCCTTTTGCTTCGTTCGAGGCTAGCTATAAAGCTAATTTTTTAGACGAAACAATCTATTAGACCAGCTTTTGACAGCCTCGAGCAATGGATTGTCCACTGTCACTGTTGGATTTGCAGTCCCTCGCCATATGACTCTTCTGACCGTACCTATAGCAGCCACTACTTGACACTCCCTTCTTCTTCCTTACAGCTTGCATGGCTGTGTGACCATGTCCAGTACTCTCTCTACGTCAAGCCTTCCTCGAGTCATTGTATTTTCTCAACCTTTTTCTCAACTCTGGAAACGTCTTAACTGGTTGAAAGCTCTCTTGCACCACAAAAAGCTCATAGCTGTCAGGCAGCCCATTGAAAAATGTGTCCGTGACTGCTTCTCCAGCTTCGCTCAACTGCGTCATCAGCTCTTGACTGCAAACGAAGTAGTCGTCAAGATCATCCTCTGACATACTAGACTGGCCGCGGCCGGTCTCTCTACACTGCAAAGTTTCTCTCAAAGCAGCTTCCAGGCCTTCGTCCATCGCGCTAGCCATCTGTTCCCACGCAGTCGTTCTTTATATACACCAAAGTGATGTTGTTGAGCGCTAGAGCTATGTGGGACCACACAGTGTTTCGATTGTTTTTCCTCTGCTAGCTAAACAATGCTCGCTGCTCCTGTATCTTGTTTTCGTAGGCTGCCTGCTGGTCAGCATTCGGACTCTCGGAGAGAGTAGGCTCAGCCTCTGGCAGATCATCATTGACCATCATTGCCATGAACAGGTCCTTGGTGTTACTCAGCACTACAAACTTTGTCGAACAAAAAGAAAAATCTCTAGATTTCACACTGAAAGCCGTCAGTTTCAAGTCCATGCTTGCTAAAGGGTGCAAACTAAAAGCTAAAATTTCATACAGAAAAATCATAAAAGAGAGAATTAGAAATCTGGTCCCGTTACCTGTTAGGATTAATTAAGAGCTGGGGCTAGAGACTGATGTTTGAACTGAGGACTGAGAGGAGGTAGTGATTGTTGAAGAATGAACTGAGAAAGTGAGTTTAGATGACGTGACAAACTAAGCATCACAAAACTACCAATTAATTTTTTACTGACTACTTAATTAGTTTGTGATCAGCAGTTGAACTTGTCTGAGTTTTATCAGTTTTGCTTATTTGAATCAGTTTTTACCTCAAAAATGATTCGCTTGATTTAACATATCTAACTAAGCTTGTGATGGTATCACCTCAACAATAACACCAAGGTAATAGTAAGGTTATTACGTTTTTTGTTGATTTGTGGAAAAAAGCGTATGGTACCATTTTCATGTATGGGCATAATTTTCTGCCCATACATGACTCTTAAAAAGTTTCTGAATGTATGGAATTATATGTCAATAAGTTTTTCTTTTGTGTAAATTGTATGATTAGAAGTTTTGGTCGACCCGCGGAAAATTGCATGACTTTCCTAACGCTCACATAATTGTTGTAAAACTATTAATAAATAGTTGCGTTTTTTCAAATGGTTTTTTTGGTAGTTGGTGTAAACTGCGGCTGGCTGACCCATCACCATATATACTTGCCCCTTCAAATAAAAAAATGTTTAAACACGTTCATGTTAGCGTTGCTATTGGTTTTTGATATTAGAAAAGGTTTCAAAGTCAAATCACAAATTTGTTTTTTTTTTAGTTTTGTTTTTAATAAACAATACACTGCCCAGAATCAAAAAGTTAAAATCTAACTTGTATTCTGTGCAATTTTGCAGTAGGTTTTATTGGTTGCTAGGCTCACACTTTTGTCGCAAAATCATTTACTTCAAATAGCTCCATGTAACCCGAAAAACACGGGGTTGACTGAATTTTTATTATAGCGTACATTATTTTTTTTCGATTGTTTTAAAAAAATTTTGAAATAATTCTACGACGACTAAAATGTAGTAGAAAAATTAAGCAATTTTTTTCTCATTAAATTTTTTATCATCATTTCAACTTTTAAAACCCGTTTTTCGACCTTCGAGACTTCCATACCTCAAAACTCTCTCTCAAAAACTACAAAAATTATGTTTTTTTTTACCCCATGTTAACTATAGTCGAAAGCAAAGTTTCTGTGCTGCCTGCTCAGCAGGAGACAAATCTTGTTGTATTTAGTCTTCAGTCTCGAGGTCGTTTCAAAAAGCCAGTCGGAGATCGAGATCCAACTTACCATGTTAAACTCATCCGCTACCATTCAGTCCATTGACAGTATCGAGTGTGCCAAAGAGAGAGATAGAACTTTATGTCCACTCAGCCCAAATGTAGTAATCTCGGGAAGCAACGCAAACCTGGCCTTCGATTCTCTTGATATCGGCGAGTCCTACCGAGTTGCGGTGTCTTTCGTTGTTTATGAGCTTGACGGAGTAAATCAAAACTCTTCTGATGAAGTCACTCTATCGACCTGCACAGGTAACTAAGTGTTTTGAAAAAAGTCTTGGGAAAACCAAGTTTTAATGGCCGAAACCTATTCTGTTCCAGTAGACCAGTAGACCATAAAAGAGAACTAATAGCAAGTCCGTATTTCATTTTTTTTAAAATTATACTGAGATTGGCGTTGCTTTAGGGCCGCATAGAATAACCAAATTGCAGGACGGATAATTGGTAGACTTTGACAGGGTTGGATCTAAGATTTTCTCAAAAGGGCGGATTTTCAAAAAAAGTTTTGGGTCGCCAAGATTTTCCGAGCTCTCACAAATTACTGAAAAAATCCTATTTTGACAAATTTTTTGCAATTCAGGCAAAACTTTGAAAGCTCTGTTTAAGACATGCAGAAAAGGCGTTCTTAGTCGCTTTTTAGAAAATTTCAGAACAAAAAAAATTTTGGAGCGCGCTCCTCTTCAAAAATAATATATTGGCGCCAAAGGCGCGTCTAAAAAAACAAAGGATGTCTTTTGGGTCGGCAGAGGGTTGAAACCCCTTAGAGATAGACCCCCGCCCTAAATCCGATACTGGATTTGGAAGCAGATCATTTGAAGTAAAAATGTGCTATTCTAACGCTGAGCATTCGACCTATGATCTGATTGTTATGGATTTCATTAAGAAAAAGCGATTAAGGATGTCGCTTATAACGACTTGAGCTCACTTTGGCACTACTTTGTTTTGTAGTGCCTGCTACACCACCTGCTGATGATGTTGACTGGTACTCATTGTCAACAATTAATGGAACGAACTTCGAGTTGCCTGGTTTTGCCTTTAACTACGAGATCACTTTGGTGCCAACATTCTGCACTGGCAACAAAACGCTCATGCACGAGTGGTATCCCCCCGTCATTTACAACCTTGAGACAGGATGTGAATACCGGGTACTTTACGCAAGCAGATGCGAGACGAGCAGTGGTGAAAAAACTCCTTCCGAATACGTCGAGTTCAGCGAAACTTTTTGCCCAGGTAGAGTTTTTGTTATTGAGTATTGTCTTGCAGGTTTTCAGGGAGGCCTTAAAGGCGTCATTGGAAAAAAATTTTTGTTGCCTGGTCGTTAGTGACATGGCTAGAATTGTTATACGTCTGAGCTCCGCGAAAATTGAAACTGCTTGTATCTGTGTGTAATTGTTCCGACTTTCGTAACGAAAGCAACGGAATATTTGAGCTCTGGGTGGGTTTTTTTTTCTTCAGCCAAATTTCGACTCTTTAACTAGCCATTTTTGACGGAAATTTTTTTACATCATTCGAAAGTTATTGTTGTCCTAAGCTTAAATTTGAAAAGATATTTCACCTGTGATCAGGCGCGGATCTAGGAATTTCTGGAGGGGGTGGGGTTTTCAAAAAAATTTATAAATTTTTTGTCGACTTTTTTTTAGGTCGACCAAATTGATTTTCTGAGCTCTCCCAGACCACTATAAAGACCCTAATTTAATTAAATTTAACCGCAGGCAACTTTTTGGAAAAAGGTCAAAAAGGCATTTTTTGGCACTTTTTGGAAAATTTCGACCGAAAAATCGCGTTTTTTCGGCGCGCGCTTCCCCCTAAAAATTAGCAAAGATTGGCGCCAAAGGCGCCTTTTGAAAAATTTTAAGGTCATTCAGCCAAAAATGGATATCTTAAAATAGTACAATGGGGGACGTATCAGGGGGTCGTATCTCTAAGACCCGATTTCAAACAGGTCCTGTATTTTTTGCAAACATGATTTCTTCTTCTTCGAATAAACAAATTGTTTCAACCACCAATTATCTGCGCCGCATGCAAAATTTTGAAAAAACAGGCCAAAAAAGGCGTTACTGGACAATTTTGACCAAAAAAATTGCGTTTTTTGGTGCGCGCTCCCCCTCAAAATAAGTATATATTAGCGCCAAAAGCGCCTTATTAAAAAACTTAGGGTTCGTCACCAAATATGGATATCACAAACTAGTACAAATGGGGGATCCTTTGGGTTGGTAGGGGTTCGAAACCCTGAGAGGGGGTGCCAACACCAAACCCTCCCCCCCAAATCCGCCCCTGAATTGGGTTCCAAATTTTTACCAGATTTTTTTTTGAAAAAAAGCCTCCTTTTTTGAAGTTAATTTTTACGTGGTTCTCAAACGAAAGCAAGAAAAATACTCTTGTTTACTGCTGGTTTTTTGTAGTTTGTATTTTGAACCAAATGGATCTTTTTCCGAATTGAGACATTTGTCAGATTATGATACATTTGCTCAGTTTTGATCGGCTTAATGGAACCAGTTCTTAAATAGAATTTGTAATTGGATATAATTTATAATTTTCTAATCCTATAAAATACTAATTCCAACCAATCATATTCCATCCCTAACTATTAACACTTATTTGTAAGTGCTGAATTTACTTGTAGTTTCAGCACCAGAACAATTTAATTAAAATTTAGACTACAGTTGTTCTCCTCCTGCATAAACTCCAATAAATAATACGCGAAACATGTATACACTAGATCTTTTGAGACAGGGAGAAATAAGGTGAAGGTTAAGATTGGTATTAGAGGTTACGACTATATGAGTTAACGACTAAGAAATAATTCATCTGGTGCGACCAAAAGTCTCGAACAAGACCTTAAATAACTTAGAATTAGACAATTAGAATTAGACAAATGCAAAATTGCAAAAATTGTTAGATGGCTTACAGAAATTGGTAAAAATGCCAATTTTTTAAATGAGAAATATCAGGTATGTCGAGAAGATCAAGGACAAGGCACGATCTACGATTAGGAAGAAATCTTTCGATTGGCGTCATGCTGATAAGACGAGAACACGAACACAAAGTTTTTCTATTCAGAAATCTTTCCGCAGTAAACTTAATTTTTCATTTACTGAAATAACAACACTCTGAAGAATAATTCTTCAAGATAAATGGTGCTAAATTTACTATTTATACAATAACGACTGATAAGAACAACAAAACTCGTTATCCCCTCAAAAAATCTGCAGTAAATCAAAAGTTTTGAATAAAACTGTTTATTGAATAGAAAATACAAAAATTAGTTAGATCTTTTCTTCATCCCATTTCCATCACCTAAAACGTCACAACAAACTTCAAAAAACTAATATTATCGAAACTGTAACTTAAAAACCTTAAAACTTAAACGTTTACATTAAATCTTATCAACGCTTATCCTTGCTTTCTCTTAAATTACCTTAATTTAAATAATAGATCATCAAAGCTTTCCTTGGATCTTTAAAGTCTCTTAAACTAAATTCTTTTAATCTCTGATCATCAGGGCCTCCCTTGGATAAAAAGAGAACAATTTTATTCGCCGAAACACATTACTTTAAGTGTCTAACGACCTCAAACGTCGATTCACTTTCCAATTCTTATAAACGACCCAGGACTAGTCGAAAGTTTTGAAAAAAAACTAACCATTATAATAAGATAAACAAAAAAGAACTTCGGTTAATCATCCTTCATTTGAGCCCACCCTGTTAGATAAACCAGGCTAAAAAACACTCAAACTTAGTAAGCCATAAGAAAAAGTATCTAACGATCTACTTCTTTTCTAATTATACCCGAACCTTGTGGATTGATTTATTATTCTCCAGCCCTTGCTCACAAACCAAAATCCTAAGTAAAATTAGGTAAGACCATGCTAAAATAGAATTTAGTCACAGGAAAGTATAAATCATTCTCACGAATTGATAAACTTTTCTCTTCCCAACCCTTCAACTCCGACAATCTATGCCCCAAGTTAAGATAACCACACTAAAACTATAAGAACTAACAGTTTAGGGAAATAGCAAAACAAAAGCGAATTATCAGAAAACTGTTTTCAAAAAGACGGAACGCAGTCTCAGAATAAGAAACAAGCAAATTACAGGAACTTCATGATTTAAAAGATTTAATAAACACGAAAAAACCACTAGAAAACCAAAAAAAAATTTCTGACTCAGGAGCTAAACCACCATCCTCAATTAAAGGAAAACGTAGAATTAACAAATCATACCTTAATAAACAAGTACGTCTTTATAACTGGAATCAACCGATCCGACATATTGAAAGTTACACATTAACAGTTTTAGGATACAAATGATTGAACCCAACGGAAATTTAGACAAAAATTCAATACTCCCAGTTATTATAAAACCAGGAAGTGATCCCACTCGAGGACAAGTATAATTTTGTCACGAGTTTTTTCTAAATTTATTTGAAAAATGTTACAGCCTGTGTGAAAATGAATTTCCCGAAATAAGAATCATAAGACAAATTCATGACCACTACCTCAAAGGGATATGCGATATAACATCACAATATGATGTATTCACAAAAAAAATCTTTTCACCAAAACAAAATCATTCTTCACAGCAAATACAAGCAGATGACATAGACAAAGAATTCTTAAAAGTCTAAACAGAATACATAAAAAATACAACACCAAAATTCAAAACGAACAAAGTCAATATTCAAAAATGATGTTTTTTCACTTATTTATAGCTATATATCTTAACTAGAATCAAAAGATGCACAAGATGTATCACCACGTCAAACATCTAGATACTCAACTGTAAGACTCGAAAAATAATTTTTCTCAAAAATGTTAGATGGAATAGGTGAAACTTTCAACAATAATAAAAAAATTTCACAAAACGTCAAACACGACCTACAAAATTATTAGCATGGTTCATAATTGACTATTTCGTCCACAACACTCAAAACACCACAAAACTCAGACGACGAAACTGTACTTGCGGATGAATCAGATTATGTTTGGGACCCTGATTGGTCTCAATCATTATTCATTAACATAACTACGGATATTTCAAGCGCAGCAATTACAGCTATCTCTGTAAATAGAGAATATGTTAAAAATAACTCCACTTACTGTTGACGCAACAACTTTAAACTATCATACAGTATTCACTGATAGAACTGGAAATAAAACCTTAAGCTCCACATCCATTAACACACAAGAAAACTTAAAAGGAACAAGAAAACCTTACAACACAAGATATCAAATTCAATCACATTTCGTAAATGAATAAATAGTCGAGACAATTGCGGCAACAACACAAAAAAGCATTTCTCTGATTCTCCCAACAATTGCAACACCCCAAAATAAAAACACAGCATTTCCAAAAACAACCATACAATCAACAGTAAAATCCTCTGTTGTTCCACAATATTCACAAATGGACTATCGGACATTCAGAGACCAATAAAGAAGTCACGACAATGGAGTAAACACAAAACAAATAAAAGTAACATTTTCTTAGACAGTAATTACAACTTCTGTGCCAATAATAATATAGCAAAATTTCCTTATAAAAACAACCGACAATCACGACAACAAGTTTCAAACTCAGTTTTTTTCAACAATCAACAGCGAGATACAGTCGATTACATCAAAAACGTTCCATTTTTTAAATAAAATAAAACTTAGACAAATAGACATTTTTCAAAAAAGTCAACCACATTATTCAGAAGATGAAGATTATTTTAATCATTAGCAACAATTTTATACCAACCATCTTAACAGGAATTTTGATCAACCAAATATTAAATATCAACCAGAAATATTTGAACAATACACACAAAATGAAAAAACAGAACAATCAAAACAAACTTTGCCTCCAAGACAAAACTCAGCATCATACAACAGTAATAATTTTCAATCACAAAATCAAGTGAATGCACAAAATTACCAACCAACGCAAGTGCAAAATGAAATACCATTGCCATATTATTCACCACAACATGAAATCACAAAGACACAACGTAAAATTTTTTCTCAATTGCCAGTTGCCGCAGAATCACTTCAAATGACTATGAATCCATACCTTAAGGGTCGATCATCAATATCCTCAAATAAATCACTAATTATACTCACAGGAACAGACCCCGAATACGCATTAGAAGATTATTTAAACGCAGTTCCAGTAAATTTCATCAAAATTGGTTACATAGACGCACAGCTCTAATCCAAACCAAACTTGATGGCGCATCACAAAAATGTG